TCAGAGGAACGGAATACGCTGCACGCTGCACGTTTAATTTTCATAGGAGCTCTGGCGCTGCAGACACGTATCTGGGGAATACGGGTTATACAATGACGACAATGGCGGACGTTTACGATCTGGATAAAATCGTCGCTAGATTCTTTTCCGGGGACGATAAACCCTGTCTTGGGACACAGACGTTTCAAGGACAAGTTGAGATGAAGACAATTTAATTTAGAGGCAAAATTCATCTGCAAGTTCTCCTATCCTTACTTCTGCAGTAAGTTCCTCCTGAAGCGAGGGGGAAATCACTTGCGAAATAGTTCGTACACCTTCCCCCGAAATAGACTGAAATTAAGGCGAAATAGACGCGAAATAGTCGGTGAAATACCCCTGAAATACTCCGAAATAGCGCGAAATAGCCTGAAATAATCCGAAATAGGCGGGAAATAGCCGAAATGGCAGGAGAAATAACCGAAATGGTAGGAGAAATACCACGAAATAGTCCTTACGCTCCGAACCCTAGTGATTTCCCCCTCGTCCTGAAGGTTAATGGTAGGGAACGGTTTATTCCAGACCCACTAAAGATCATCAAGAAGATGGGGAGGAGCGACATGCGTGACACCGACGGGAACGCGAGTGACCCTGAAGATGGCCACGAAACAGTTTGGCATGGACAAAAAAAATGCTACTTGTTCCAGTGTGATGGATTTTTTTTTATAAAAGACAAGTTTTATGAGTCTACAGGGGAAACTTACTTTAAATGTAAGGAGTATGGGCCCCGGACTAAGCAGGTAAGGCCTCTAATTACCCAAAAGAGAACTTTGACACTTCAGAAAATGGATGTTGCTTGTTAAGAGAGCACCTTGCTTTCAAAAATAAGCATTGAGAAAACTTTAGACATATGTAATGACTTAGGGCTTCTACGTTTCCCCTACCATTTCCCTTATATTTGATGATAATTGCACTGGTTCCAAATAAGTCTATCACTAGCCTGATTTCAAACATTTTTACTTGAGTTTTTTCCGTTCAATTGTTTAATGGAAGGAACGGTTTTAGTAATGCCTTGCAAAATAATACCAATCACTGTAAATTCTAAACCGTTCAACTTACACACCCGATACAAAGCTTTTAAAAAGTCTTTCATCACACTGAAATTAAAAATAACATTCCAAAAGGTGTCTCATTTTTAATCAAGCAGATGTCAATTTCAGTATAGTCTATAGAGCTTATCACAACCTTTTTACCAGGGCTACAACTGTCAGGCTCCCGCAAAGCGCTACTTGAATGAGCCACTTGTTCAGCACTTAGGGCAACACAACCACCGAGTAAACCCCTGCTATGCAGACTATCTTTTGAAGACGAAGAAACTGGTGGAACTGCTATTGGCCCAGAGCTATAGGCAGTCTGCATTGCAAATTTAGAAGGACTTTGTGACAGGGTAAGGGGTCGGTCAAATTGGTATCCTGCCAATTTTTGTGTCCTATAGTACCACTTTTCAACTTGTAAAGCCCTGGGGAAAATGTTTCATGCGTCTCAAATTGTGACATTTTAGTCAAAGTTTTTTTTTTTTTTTTTTTTAATGACCTGAAGGTCTCATTCTACTTTACAACTATTGTGTGTATACCCCTCCACTTAAAAATAAAACGAGACCTTGGAAGTGTAGACATACATAAAAGAAAAAGAAGTAACACCTCTCTGCGTAGCATCACTGTAGCTACAAAACTGAGAGAGTTCCAAATCTGGCGCTCTGAGATAAACTGGTTATCAGATTTTGATTCTTTTTTTTTTTTTTCAAAAGAATACTTGGTGCTTGGCACGGTTTTCTCCGAATGTCTTCAACTCTGAATGTACTTAATACAGCCACAAGCAAAAATTCTCCTGAGAGAGGAAGAACTGGAGTACACTTTGTTACAAAAAATGAGAATCAATTTTTCCTCACTTTTGGCACATTTTGACACTTGGTCCTCGTAGAATGCTCTAGAAAATCTTTGCCCAGGAAACAAGCTCTGTGTCAATTTTACCTCTAATTTTCCAGAATTGAGAACAGACAGGTTGCTGGAATGTTCAGCACAAAGAGCATCTTTGCAGCCGTTTCTTACCAAAAGGTCAAAGAATAGGCCTAAGATGCCCCAGACTTTTGATGCTGTTCATGATCAGGGCTGTTAACGCTAATTTAACGAATAACGCCGTTAATTAACGCCGTTAACCTTAATTAACGATTAACGTTAGCGCGTTACAATTACGCCGAAGCATTAACGTTATCGCGCTACGTTACTTTTGAGGTTAGCGGCTTCACGCCGTTAACGGTAACACTTTTCTGCAGGAGGGCATAGAAATAACCCATTTTCCACGGATCTGTCCATTTCATACTAATGAATTTTGCCGCTTGATGCAATACTTGTTGTTTACTGCATTTCCGGCACGCACACTGCAGCTCCATCAGCTACGGTAGCCTGATTAACGTTAACGGCGTTAACAGTTAACGTTATCGTTAGCGTGTTTCATGTGTCAAAACGTATTCACGATAGCGCGTTAAGTTACTTTGGTTCGTTATCGCTTTAACGTTAGCGCGCTAACATTTCAAATTAACGTTAACAGCCCTGTTCATGATTGCCTTGAACATCCTGACTTTTCACACCTTGGTAGGTTCCAGTTAAAAAGGGGCTGCATGCAGGGCTCCGTAACTTAAAATAATGTGAAAAGCAGTTCAGTTATAAGAGTTAAAGTTATAACTTGTAACTTTTACAATAGTCCTTTAAAAATAAGTTAGTTATTCGACTTGTCCAACTTTTTTCTACAGTATGTACATCAGTCATATTTCAAAATTGATAAATTTAACTTTTAATTTGACCTGTGTTTTTGGCTGAGCGATTAGCGAAGCCTATTACTCCAGTTATGATCAAAAAGTTTCGCGTCTGTCTGTCTGTCGGTCTGTCTGTACGCACGATGACTCGAAAACGGTTTGAGTTAGGAGACTCTAAATTTTTTTGTAGCTTTGTATCAAAAAAAGGAAGAACTGTATTGATTTTGAGCCATCTGGCTAAAATATTAACGTGTCAAAAAAATCATAAACAGAAAGCCCAAACCATTCCTTTAAGAAAATATTTTTTTTACATCTTTCTTAGAGGTAACTCGTCAAAGTAGAACCCCGTGGGCCAAAATTTTGCCCGTTTGGCTCTATCTCTAACCGTTTGGGCGCAAGAGGGCGTTCTTCACACGAAAATCACCCCAAAACATTTTAATTGTTTTTCTCAGGTATTTTATGGTCTCCGGTGGGGTAACTCGACAAAGTAAAACCCCGAGGCCCAAAATTTGTGACTTTTGGGGCCGAAGGTCTATTTACGACCGTGCCTTTTGCCCAACTTCGGTGTCAGCGCCGCAGGCCTAGGTAGATGTATGCCAGGCGCGTCGCAGCGTAACAGTGTTTCGTGAGATATCGCGAAGCCTGTTACGCGAGACGTGGTCTGGCGTACATCTACCTAGTATTACGTTGAGTAACTAACATTTGTTCATGTTATAAGTTACGAAGCCCTGGCTACATCTCGCAAATGAGAGCTACTTTAAGCCCTGTAACTCAAGCAGTTTAGGAGGTTTAATTTTGATGTGTAGTTTAGATCTGAAAATAGTATTCTCACATTACAGAAGCCTTTATAGACGCAATGTTTAAACTACATTCCTTTTGAAAAATGTCATGGCAGGCCTATAATATCTGTTCATGAATCGTGCAGGACTTTCGAAGGATGTTAAAGATCAGTTCTACTAGGGGATGGTGGGGCAAGAGGGCGAGGAGTCTCTTGTCTTCGCCTCCCCTAGCGCTCTAAAAATGGTCCATAAAAATGACACTGTGGCATCTGATCAGACATACAAGATCACACCAAAGTTGCTGGGGAGGTACCAGGTGATGATATTTGCCCTCCTTGCTTTTGGACATGTAAGTAAAATGAGTTATTAAAGTGGTTACAGATAAAGAAAACAAACACTCGTAAAACAAGTAATTAATTTTGCTCGTCAATCAATGTAATTAGTTCATGTGCAAGGTTTAGACACATTGTGGTGTCTAAATAGACAAAACGTCAATGGGTGTGCATTGCACACTGTGCAAACTTTCAAAATTTCTGAGCAGCTGCACATCATGGTTCCCACTGATAGCATGGAACACTGTACAGTCAACACCATGTTATGTCCAAATTATGATCTGCACACGTTTGTGTGCAAATTTAGTACACTTGTTTTACCAGTGAAGATAGTGTTTAAAAACCAGAACTGAAACGCTTTTACCTTTACAGGCTTTATCGAACAGAAGTAGTTTCCTGTCCCTAATTTTAGAGTACTTAGTCCCCGACAAATGCTGTGAGTATGTCAAATTTCGGTGCCGGAAGGCCCTGTTCCCGTATACCCTCCCATTAGCTCGTCTCGGGTGTCAGCGCCTCAGGCCTAGCTATATGTGCGCCAGGCGCGTGGCAGCGTTACAGTGTTTCGTGAGATATCGCGAAGCCTGTTACACGAGACGTGGTCTGGCGTACATATAGTTAGACTAATTTGCAATAGGAAGATGAAAGTCAAGTTTGCAACAGAATTCTTGAGTGCTACAAATGCAACCTTGTTTCAACATATTGGAGATTACCAACTACAAGGTGCCACCCTTGCTGACAAAGTTCTTAGGGATTTGGATCAATTGATTAATTTAACCATTGGGCACAGTTCGAGTGAGTCTGTAGATACTTTGAAGAAAGCGAGAGAGCCTATGTCATCCACTTCAATACACACAGAGAAGTTTTCTCGTTATTTGACCAAGCTAGAAAAAGCAAAGTTGTGTTCTAACAAAAATGTGAGGGGGTTACCTACAAAGTAGCTTCTAAATCTCCTGTTACTAAAACCTGGCCTCATACAATTCATGGCTAAATGGGTTTGTCAAAAATGCTGCAGATAAAGTACAATGTCTGAGTTTAATGTTCGTTCCACAGGTCAAAGCACATTGGAGTCCAAATTTTCTGAATTCAAAGAAGGACGAAAGACTCCCACTGCTCAACAAATGTTGGGTGGCATTAAGACAACATGCGTCAGAGGAATAGTCAAACCAACTAGCAGTGGAACAAATTGTAAGCAAGATTGGCGCACTCATGTAGATACCTTGATGAACTTTATGAGGCTTATCAATACGAACATAGTAGAATTTCAAACGCCTGTTGTACCATTTCAAATAAGGTATAGTGAAGGTGAAAATCACGGTGTAGTGAGATCACTACATCGTGGTGAAAATGCTTACACGCCCGTCCGTCCTAAGTATCCCAGATGAGAATAGTTTACTTGCTGTGGACAACGTAGAGAACCCTCAACATCAAGATACACTTGTAATGCATCTTGCTGATTCTCTCATCAGAAGACTACGCTCCCGTGGTGGTGTGACTTGTGTGTCTTGCAAGAGCGACCTATTTTCACATATGGCGGGAAAAGTGAATTCCTTAGCTCTCCAGATGCGCTCTGGATTACTGAGTGAACTCCCCTCCGACAAACTCCTAAGTTTTGTCAAGAAAGCCTGGGAGGAGTTTGAGCAAAGTTGGCTGTCTAGATTACATGAAGCTGACACCTTCCAAAAGCTTGATTTGGGACCCGCTGCTGAGACAGGTTGTCGATGGTTTTCTGGTCAGCAACGTGTTGGTAATCTGTACTCTTCTCTAACTGATGTACTTGTTGCAGATCGTATCAGAGTCCTGAACACAAAGCCGGTCAGAACGAACGTTCCTGAAGTGGCGTACGAATTGCAAGAATTGGCCCCATATGTAAGTCTATGGTCACCACTGTTAAGGTTCAACATTAGGAGAGTGGGTGTCCTGGCAAGGGGATTGGGGGAAAAGGAACGAAATGAGTGGCATTTTGGGTTAAATGGTTAGGGGCCTTAAAATACCATAAGGTCAAACGGAAATTGGGTTTGATCTTTTTGGATGAAGTGCGACGGGTGAAATATATACGGGGCAAATGCCACTGGGAAAAGTGGTTTTGGGTGAAACAGATTGGGTGAAACGTACCGGAACCTTCCCTTCAGTTATTGAAAGAATCATTAACCAATTGAAGAATGATTTTTCAATTTGATTTGTCTAGTCCACTGTACCAGAAGAAATTGTTTCCAGAATGACTTGTAAGCGTAATGGGAAATCACATCTGTTCTGACGTTTTCCATAATGTGCCCCACCAGCCCTCCAAAAACTGTGCCCGAATTGAGAAAAGAGGGCGAGGAGTCTCTTGTCTTCGCCTCCCCTAGCGCTCTAAAAATGGTCCATAAAAATGACACTGTGGCATCTGATCAGACATACAAGATCACACCAAAGTTGCTGGGGAGGTACCAGGTGATGATATTTGCCCTCCTTGCTCAGCCAACAATCTGTCAAAATACGGTATTTTACCTGGCGCAAACCGGATCCAAAGAAGAACAAGAGTTCTTCCTGAACTCTTTCCTTCTTGGCGCTCATCGGCCGTCGCCGACGAAGTTCTCGGACCCGACACTAGGGGTCGACCGCCCATGCGACCAGTAAAATGAGTTAAGTTTGTCGCTGGAAACTATTAGCGTGCGGCGTTGCCACATCCTTTGGATAAAAGGTCTTGTTCTCCTTTGGGTCCGGTTTGCCTCAGGTGAAAAACCTACCAGAGACAAAATGTTACTTAGACGCAAGAATGTTTGTTTAAAGCAGTTTCTTGTTATTCTCAACAGCAACTTTGTGTTGTTGCAGCTTCCAGGACACCCGCATGCGCTGATAGTACGTTGATTTTTATTAATAAGTTTGTTCTGTAGGTGAGGTGTCCAAGAATCGATGTTTGATTGCTGTCCTTTCCTTTCTTTGTTTAGAACCAGAGGCGGCAGCGTCATAGAAGTCACCGTAAGGGATGGGTTCGGTGGGCCTCGTGTCCGTGGTGGTCGCCACCGCCGTTCCGGCCACTGGGGACGGGGACGGGTACGGAAAACTGAAATACAGTGGGGCCATTATTCCTTAACTCACCGAATTTTGACGAAACTTAGCTCAAATGTTCGCATTTATGAAGCCAACATTCCAGAATGGTTTTATGTTTGGCCCGACATCTGTTTCATCCTTTGGATTGATATTTGCCGTATCTACCACGCCGAATTGTTTGATGACTTTGACCCTGAGTTTACTTTAAATAGTTATTTTTAGCAGATGATACCTTACAAACTTAAACTTACTTACACTTAACATACATATAACTATGCATGAGTAATGTAAGGTGTCACTGCTTTTACTCTCGATTAAGAAATATTAAAGAGAACCAGAAGAAAGCTCATATATGTATTGGGCTGGGCCTGCTAGGCGGGGTCGTGAGGCGGCTGGCGTACGTCGCGTCGCCGTCGCGTCAGCCACGCCACGCGTTGTAGCGCTGCTGAGGCGAGCCGAGTTCCGAGCCGAGCCCCGAGCGGAACCCGAGCCCCGAGCCGAGTCGGCCGCGCTAGCGCTAGCAGCCCCCCTCCCTTCTACCGCTGGAGCCCCCGCACCGCACCGCACCGCCACCCACCCCCCTCCCTTTCCCCACAAGTGTAAATACGGAAATATAATGGACTGGAATAGAATAATTCTTCACAAGGTATCATCTGCTTTCACGATCCGTTTTTTTTCGTAACTATCACTTCTACATCAAGTCGACATACACAAGACTGTATTTTAAACTCCTAGTGCCTCTGTAATGGGGAAAATTGTACTGTGCAACAGGTTAACTAGCTCATTTGAGTAATTGAGCGATAGCGAAGCCTATTACTCAAGTCAGTGATGATCATAAAGTTTCGCGTCTGTCTGTATGTGTGTCTGTTTGTCTGTCATCACGATGACTCGAGAACGAATAGGGTGTCTCAGGCAATCTAAAATGGAAGTACTCACTAACCTTTCTGTTTCCGTAATGGCCCTGATTGGTCGACCCCTGACGACGGCTCTCCCCGGTGGGGCCCGGTGGGGACCCGGGAAGACCCGGGAGGGGCCCGGGAGAGACTCGGTGGGGAGTAATAAATGTACAACTCTGTACGCTAAATCGATACGACGGGAAGTTGACGGGCAGCAGGCCCGTATCTTTGTGTACATTTTTGCGCTAACCGACCCGGGTGTGAGTGCCGCAGGCCTAGGTAGATGTATGCCAGGCGCGCCGCAGCGCAACAGTGTTTCGTAAGATATCGCGAAGCCTGTTACGCGGGACGTGGTCTTGCGTACACCTACCCAGTTCGCTGAGCGATTAGCGGAGCCCATTACTTCACTGACCGAAAAAGTTTCAAAGGGAGTAGCTAGTACTCCACGTCTCGCGTAACAGGCTTCGCGATATCTCACGAAAGCCTGTTAGGCTGTGACGCGCCTGGCGCACCGCACATATATCTAGGCCTGCGGCGCTGACACCCGAAGCGAGTTGGGGGGCCTTCCGACACCAAAATTTGACATGTAGACCATTCCGCTAAGCCGAAAAAGAAGAAGAGAAGGAAGAAGCAAATACATTTTTTGGGACTCTATGGACCTTCTAACACAGCATTTTACAACTTAAACATGTTCAAAATGATTTTTCAGAGCAAATGTGATATTTTTAAGACAACAAATCACTACAATTCGGCCATACCAGCCCTAAAACGATACCCTTGCTTCTCCTTGCTTCTTCTCTTTCTTCGTTTACGGCTTAGCGGAATGGTCTATTGACAGCATTTGCCGGGGAATAATTACTCTAAAATAGGGTATTCCAGGCTATTCAAAACGGAAGTAGGAAAAGAGCAAACTCACTGACTTTTCTGATTCCGTGATGGATCTGGTTGGTTGAGCTGATCACGTGTCACGACGGCGTTTCAGGTATGAAATACCGTCAGGTCAGTTTCGAGCTCGCCTCCATATTTGAGAGGTTAGAATCGGACCAAACTACCATGGCGATTTCTCATACTGAGCGGACGGAAAAAGATAAATCGGTGAGTTTATTCTTTTTCACTTCCGTTCTAGATAGCCTGGAACACCCTATTAGGGACAGAGAACTACTTCTGTTCGATAAAGGTTTTGATTAAAAGTTAATAGGGTTTTTCACCTGAGGCAAACCGGACCCAAAGGAGAACAAGAGCTCTTCTTGAACTCTTTCCTCCCTTTTTCTGATTGACTGACGCCGACGAAGTTCATGAACTGGTCGCATGGGCGGTCGACCCCTAGTGTCGGGTCTGAGAACTTCGTCGGCGACGGCCGATAAGCGCCAAGAAGGAAAGAGTTCAGGAAGAACTCTTGTTCTTCTTTGGATCCGGTTTGCGCCAGGTAAAATACCGTATTTTGACAGATTGTTGGCTGAGCGGTCACCGACGCCTATTACTCCGTCTGGTCGATAAAAACTTTGTCTGCACGTCTGTCTGTCCGCACGATAACTCGAAAACGAATAGGGTGTTCTAGGCAATCTAAAACGAAAGAAAAGAAAAGAACAAACTCACTGACCTTTCTGTTTCTGTAATGGCTCTGATTGGTCAAGCTAATCATGTGCCTCCGCGACCTTGCAGGTATGAGAAACTGTCATATCAGTTTCGAGCGCCCCTCCACATTTGAGAGGTTAGGATCGGATCAAACTTCTATGGTAGTTTCTCATACTGGGCGAACGGAAACGGATAAATCAGTGAGTCTGTTCTTGTACACTTCCGTTTTAGATAGCCTGGAACACCCTATTGAGCTAGCGACCTGGGATTTTCAGGGTCGTTTTGTGTTACAAAGGCAGATCGAGTTCAAAGATAAGCATTCTAGCCAAAAAATTAGATTTTATAAAAATAACCAAACCAACGGGTCCAAGAAATGACGTTTTTAAAAAAATATTTTTAATGGTTTTCTATGGGGTAAGTCATCAAAGTAGAGCCCTTTCGGCGAAAAGTTTCTCAGTTTTGCTCTAGCTCAAACTGTTGAGGCGCTACAGAGTGTTTCTGACGAAAATAAGCGAAAAAACGTACAACCCTGCATGCTTAGTCAAAGTGTCGGGCCGTTGACGGGCCGGAGGCCCGTATCTTTGTGTACATAATGCCACTACCCGACACGGGTGTCAGCGCCGCAGGCCAAGGTGGATGTACGCAAGGCGCGTCGCAGCGTAACAGTGTTTCGTGAGATATCGCGAAGCCTGTTACGCGAGGCGTGGTCTGGCGTACATCTACCTTGTTATGTAACTAGCTATGTGTACGCCAGACCACGTCTCGCGTAACAGGCTTCGCGATGATCACGAAACACTGTTACGCTGTGACGCGCCTGGCGTACATATAGCTAGGCCTGCGGCGCTGACACCCAAGACAGGGTAATAGAAGTGTATATACAATTTTTCGAAATAAAGTCTTTTGAACGATTTAATCGACCATTTGATCATTTTCACCTCATTTTTGCCAAGAATTGCCCTCTAGCACCTAAACGGTACAAGATAGAGCCAAACGGACGAAATTTTCGCCCAAAGGACTCTACTTTCACGAGTTACCCCTTAGGAACCCATAAAAAATATTTGATAAAAATACATATTGCGACCTGTAGTTTTTGATTTTTTTTAAAAGCCAAGTTTTGAGCTAGAATGCTCATCTTCAAACTCGATCTGTCTTTTTATGATACAAAACGATCCTGAAAATCCCAGGTCGCTATCAGAATTCTTTCTCGAGTTATCGTGCGGACAGACATACAAACAAACAGACAAACCAACAGACAAACAGAATGAAACTTTTCCGGTCAGTGGAGTTATGGGCTTCGCTAATCGCTCAGCCAACTATGCTTTAACATGGTGACTTCTGTGTTCCTGTTCCCCGCATTCTTCTGCATTTCAGCTTTAGTGAACGGTGCATTCACTTACTGTCATCAACTCTATCTTGCAGTTTGTGTAATAAATACTTTGGCGTGTTACAGTTGCGCAAGGTGTCAGCTGTTCTTGATGATGTGTGGAACCCTGAAATGGAATTAGATGGCAACTTGAAGAGTGTGCTCCAGACTCTTGGACATGATCTTGGAACCAAACTCTAGCTTCATCATCTTGACCTCACTTGTAGGGCCAAGTCGGCCAACCCCGCCAAGTCTGACAGCCTACTAGCTATATGTACGCCAGACCACGTCTCGCGTAACAGGCCTCGCGATATCTCACGAAACACTGTTACGCTGCGACGCGCCTGGCGCACATATAGCTAGGCCTGCGGCGCTGACACCCCAGACGAGTTAAATTTTACGATTTAATAGACCATTTTTTCGTTATCACCTTACTTTCGCCAAGAAATGCTCCCTAGCACCCAAACGGTGCGAGATAGAGCAAAACGGACAAAATTTTCACCCTAAGGATTCTACTTTCACGAGTTACCCCTTAGAAGCCCATAAAAAAATATTTGAAAAAAAATAAATATTTTGCAACCTGTGTTTTTTGATTTTTTAAATAGCCAAATTTTGAGCTAGAATGCTCATCTTCGAACTCGATCTGTCTTTTTATGACACAAAACGACCCTGAAAATCCCAGGTCGCTATCTCAATTCTTTCTCGAGTTATCGTGCGGACAGACAAACAAACAGACAGACAGACAAACAAACAGAATGAAACTTTTCCGGTCAGTGGAGTAATGGGCTTCGCTAATCGCTTAGCCAACAACTTACTGTTCACTACGGCAATTTTAAGCTTATTTTCGTCAATAAACGACCCTCTAGCGCCAAAACGGTTAGAGATAAAGCCAAACGGACGAAATTTTCGCCCCAAGGACTCTACTCTGACGACTTACCCTTCAGAAGAACTTAAAAACAAATACTTCTTGGGAGAATTTTTGAACCTTGGATATCCCCATTCACACCCTTAGGGGTGGTTGCCAGGATTTGCCGTAGGCGTTTCGTTCTCTAGGAGTGGACCTGAAGATACTCTGAAAATTTCAAGTCTCTAGCACATCTCCTTCTAGTGGAACAGACACATCGACCGACACAAAGTCGTTTGCATATGCCCGCTAGGTAGCTTTTTCAAAGCAGAAGGGCGGACTAAAAATCAACGTTTTAGTGACACTAGATAATCTAGGGCCCCAACAGAGAGTGTGGTTCGACCCGTAATGTGTGGTTTAAGTATTACTTTAATTCTGTGACATGAAGCCCTTTCTACGATTAAATGGACCAATTCGCCTTTTTCGCCAAGAAATGCCCTATAGTGCCAAAACGGTACAAGCACCCAAACGGTACAAGATAGAGCCAAGCGGACGAAATTTTCGCCCATAGGGCTCTACTTTGACGAGTTACTCCTTGAGAACCAATAAAAATACGATAAAAATACATTTTGCAAAACGGGCGAAATGTTTGTTCATAGGGTTCTTCTTTCACGAGTTACCCCTTAAGGGCCTATAAGAAAATATTTGATGAAAAAAATATTTTGCGACCCGAGACGGGGTACAGAGTGTATACACAATTTTTCGAAATGAAGTCTCTTTGACGATTTAGTCGACCACTTCATCATTTTCACCTCATTTTAGTCAAGAAATGCCCCCTAGCACCCAAACGGTACAAGATAGAGTCAAACGGACGAAATTTTCGCCCATAGGGCTCTACTTTGACGAGTTACTCCTTGAGAACCAATAAAAATATGATAAAAATACATTTTGCGACGTGAAGTTTTTGATTTTTAAACAAGACAGTTTTTGAGCTTGAATGCTTATCTTCGAACTCGAACTGTATTTTTATGATACAAAACGACCCTGAAATTCCCAGATTGCTACCTCAATTCCTTCTCGGATTATCGTGCGGACAGGCAAACAAACACGCAAACATAATGTAACTTTTTTGGTCAGTGGAGTAATGGGCTTCGCTAATCGCTCAGCCAACTAGCTTTACGTACGCCAGACCACGTCTCGCGTAACAGGCTTCGCGATACCTCACGGGACACACAGAACCAGGACACAGAGAAGCAAAGAAGAGACTCAAAACACGTCCCAGTGAGTAGTCTTTTAATCCATTTGTATTGCAGTTTTGTAAGTTCAGTGAGACCTTGCTATAACATGCTCATAAATTACTGTTTTTAGCCCGCCCTTCTGCTTTTAAAAAAGCATTAAAGCGGGCTTATGCAACCGCTCTCGTGTCTGTCTGT